AAACTGAACTGCTTCAATTTTAAGGAACGTTAGGCATTGAAATGTCAGCTAATCACTGTAAATATCTGAACTAGTCAACACATCTGACTTTAATTACTATCATTAAAGTAGTGGTCGAGACAGATCATTATTGACTGGAGCTATTCGCACTACAAACATATCCTTGGTTTTGCTTCGCTCTCCACCCAAAAATCCACGGTATTTCTTTACTCCGGATCAACGGGAGTAAATCCTGGGAACAAGTCAGTCACCGAAAAATCGAAACCAGCCAAAGTTAGATACATCAGTACATCTCAAAATCAAATTATGCTTCCCTGACGGACATCACTGGTTGTCATCACATCAGATGGCAACTCTTCGTGAGCTATTACGCTGATGCATAATTTCAGGTGGTACCTTTTTTCGTGCAATATACTTTCTTGGCAGGTCCAGTAAACTATTTACTTACGTTGCCTGAAGGTTTATGAACTCATTTGCTTGTTGGGCTTCAGATCGAAGTAACACCCATAACTGCTGCGTGCTCACCTTTCTACAAGGGTCATCGTCTTTAACGTGAAACTGCCTGACTATTAATTGTGACTCAGTGATCAGGCTGCAAGTACGAAGGATAAATATTAATTCTACGCCTACTGAAGGGTGCATTTTGGTTGATGGAGTAGTTCGAAATTACAGGAGTTTGCAACCACTGCACAACGCAGTTTCATTCGAACACTAATTACCTGTTGTGCTCTTCTCTGAATACTAGTATTAGCAATAAGTGAGGCCGAATTATATGAGGATTCCTGACTATCGTGAAATTCTTCAATCTCTTACACAATGTCTTATTGCTAACATTATTGATATAAGATTTGGGCACTGTGGTATAGTATGAATGCTATTTTCGGGTCAAGAGATATGAGTAGTGTTGGTCACCGGTAAGTATATCCATGTTCGAAACCTGTCGAAGAGTGAAGATATGATCGATACACTCTCTTCTGGACCTAAAGCTCACCTTCTATTAACGAGTTTGTTTCTCCTGAGCACCACTTAGTCTTCACAGGATTATGGAGCCTAGAATCTCAGACAGTATGCTAGTCGGATTTTTCTCTCTTTCTTATAAACTGGGATGATCAACGATCTACACCAGTCCGATGAAACTATTACAGATTCCCTCGCATTATCTGATATCCCAGTAGCTCATCATCACCCTTAAACGCCTCTTAATTCAGATGATCAAGTTCTGCAGATTGTCTGATTAGAAACAGCTTTTTTTTAACTTCATTTACAGTTGGAGAACTGATGTTTACATCTTTTTGAAGCTTGGTTTAGCAGTTTGCGAACTTGCATACATCTGATTTTTAGCCACCACTCTCTGCGGTCTCTGGGGCCAATTCAAATTATTTTCTTCCCCTGGTAATTTCGGGTGAAACTGAATATATCGAATGGAATTTTCTAATTTTCGGTTGTATGCTGTCAACTGTCTTAATTGTGGTTTCTTCAGAAGATAATGCGTGATGCCTTACCGCTTCAATTCCAGTAATTGTCTCTTTCAGATGTGTTTTTAGTTTCTTCTCTTCTAATTCCCAGTCACATCAAAAAGCTTGTCACTTAATGGCTCTCGGTTGTCTGTTTTTTATGCTTGTTCACTTGCAGGCATGTTGGTACACGGACTATTGTGTGATCAGAGTACACTCAAGTGTTTCAGGCGGAACCACATTCCTCCACTTAACTCCTCCATGGACAGCTTATAGCTAGGGACGCTGATTTTGTATTGCTGACTTTCAGTGAATGGCCAAGAAGTTACATTTACCGCAAGTGAACTGATTGGTAGACATGGCTGGGACATATGTTGTGCTTATTGATTCACTGCCTTTCCTAAGGGATAGTGTTTTCTGGAACAAGACTTGGTTGGAGAGGAGTTAACGATGGTCAGACCGAAGTATTGCATCAGTCTCTAAATTCCGTGACTGTTAAACCACAGTCACTAACGGATATTTAAACTTCTCCTGCCAGCTGTTGAAGTGATACATATTTTTGCTCCGATTTGGGTTCACATGACAATCCATTAGTTCCTCAGTGTGAGTATTAATACTGCTCAAAGCTATTTACTAAATTTTAATAAATACAAAAATACCGCTGTGAGCTTGCACCTAACTCATCTACTACCATTGTCCATATTCATTATGCTTTATAGAATGAAAACTCCCGAATCTAAACGGTCAGAAACAGAATTTCTATGAATTGTATCCTGGTCAAAGACCACACTATTATTTAAGTTTATTTGTTATAGCACATAGATGTACTTATTTTTATCTAGTTAATGGTATCTTATCACGGTGTTACATCAAATGAACCTATCTAATATGGAATTATATTGTACAACAGTACCCAACTTCAACTCTTTCATTAAAGACAACTGTGGTCTCAATAAGGTAAATTTGTGCAAAAAAAGAACGAGAAAAAACACATTATTGTGTATTCAGCAGCTCTTTTATTTTCGTGTGATCCTTTATGAATGTGAAGGTAATATCGATTCCGAGTCTTAACAGAGTATTTCAATTTAACTTGATAGCTACTAAATGGTGAACACCGATGCTTCTCATATGCTGAGTGTCAAATCTGAAAAAGGTACATATTCTTTTGCATACTTTCATTTAACCTCGCCTAGTTTACTAACCTCTTTTAGGGGTTCGTGGTTGGGCTCACCAGTTTAGGTGATTGATGGTATTTGACGTTCGCGAGTTGTACGGATTATACTAACGCAAGATCTTATACCAACAACCACTATAGTGTTCGTTCTTCGAGTACCAAATGGTAAAGCAAAAGACCAGATTTTGTCGTCCAAATACGATATATATTTTGGGACCAAATCGCGGGTAGGAATGAATGCTTAGCTAGCTAGTAATCGTGCACGCACGTGACACGACGAAGCACCAAATGGCACGTGACACGACGGAGCACCAAATGGCGGGGATGCTTGACCGTAAGCCTTCAGCTAAACAAGTCGACTTAAACAGTGATGGTCAGCATCCAATGTTGAGTGATGATTGCTGTGGTTAATAATTTTGGGGAATTATTTACCGCTACGCTCTCTTAAGACCGGTAGCATCGTTTCAACAACAGACGGCACAGATGAGAATGTCAAAGTCAGAAGAGCAAGAGAGATCCTTATTGTTCAGAAACCAATGTGGAAATCTGCCATGCTTGGCATCTGGAAGAAGATCCGGACGCTCAACACCAGTGTCAAGTCAGTGCTTCTATATTGTCCAGAGACTTGGCGTGCGCGTCACCAGATTCATATCCAGCAGTCTCCAGACTTTTATCAATATCTACTTCTGCTTGGCGCTTAACATCATATGGTCCACCAGAAAGGATGCGCAACAAAGAACACTGGCAGCTAGCAAGCTCACCTAGAATCTATCGCCCAGCGAATATGCAGGGGGGAAATGAAGGTGGATTGGACCTACGACGTGGAGATTGTTGAGTGACATCATACATCATCTCAAGTGGAATCTAAATGTGAAGAGACGAGTTAGGCGTGGGTTCGAGGCCAACATGGAGTAGATAATGTGAAGAGGAGAGCTGATGGACGATTGTGGGGCCAGCTAAAAAAGACTGCAGAGAACAAAGTGAAATGGGGATGTGCTACTGAAGCTGTATGTTCCACTCAGAATTCAAAGGAATATTAATTTCAGTCACTGTCGTACTTGTGAATTCTTTGTATTTAACATGAACATATTGGTTTAATTCCCCCATCAGAATAAGGTGCACTCTTCAAGTACTAGTGAATTTGGAGAAATTAAGTATCAAGTTAGTGGAATAATACTTAGTGAAACAAATTATTCTACAGTGCTATCACTTTTAGTCATGATTTCACATGTTACCATGATTTTCTGTTGCCATTCTCCAACAACAGCACTACATCGTTTCTAGAAACTTGACACAAAATGAGTGAACAAGGAGTTCAGAGGAAGTTTTTATTTTCCTTCTGGGGACTTAATGTTGTCATCATATTTTCCCTGCACATTTTAGTGTTTTATTCTTATATTAGTTGCCGGTAGCTGGTAGTACTGTCGGTATTTAAGTTAACTCTCTCTGCATCTGGCAGAAAACTATATGTTAAGAGACAGAAATAACAGTGATTACCTAATACTGTCTAAGCACGGGTTTTCACAGTGTATTTAGACTTATTAAGGTTCAAATGCATGCACTTACTGGGTGAAACCTAACGAAAGAATACAGTATTATTTAGTGATGACGTTTCGAGAACACTTTATTGCTTATAATCATATCAAGGCGCCCACACAACTTTCTGGCATTGTTTATGTAACTCCATTATTTTTTGTCCTTGGATTTCACTGGCAGTAATATTTAACAAATCTATGTTATCGGCGTTGCACTCGTTAGGTGTAGCATCTATGAACAAAGATTCAGTGAGCAATTTTTCCCTCTACCTACCTATACTGCCTCTAAGAAATACAGCTTTATCCCCCCCTGCTGTATTTTTTTACTTTAATTTTATTATAGCTTGATTGCACACAGTTTTTTGTTACAAGTATGAAATTTTCAGCATGTGATATCGGTAGCCCAAATTTAGCAGGCCGACCATAGATATCAGGTGTGCGTCGGCGGGGGATCGAACCTCGGACCATGTACATGGTCGGCGAGAGTCTTAACCGCTGTAGTGTGTGCATTGTGACTGCTAATGTTTCCTCGAGACTGTTGGTTTTTGAAGCGTCAATCATTCTACATTCAGCTAAATTCCAGTTTCGATAATTTGACTGCTCCAATCGACTGATCTCACTTATGTAGTTGACCTCACAGTCATCGCAAGATATTTTGTAGACTAAATTATTTTGTCCAGTTGGGTGAATTGTGTTCTTTAACCTGAGTAAGTCTGTAGGTTTGTCAGATAAAGCTATTGTACACTTTTGTCTTATAATCTCTCGCAGTGCTCTAACTTTGTCCTTATACTAATGAAAGGACTTATGGTATTTTATTTATCTTTCCTTCTTTAACAGGCTTCTAACAGATATAGATGCACTGAAGGGTTATATATTCCTGCGTTATATTAACTTGGGATTTAATCGTTTGACAAATTTAAAGCCTCTATACAATCTCACCAATCTTATTGTATTAAGAGCGGCATATAATGAAATTGAAGAATTTCCATGCGGCAACTGGCCGACTCTTACACATTTAGATTTGAGTCATAACCGTATTAAAAAGTTGTCAACAATAAACTATCCAAGATTAATGGTACTATTCCTTGACTGTAAGTTCTTTTGTAATGTAAGTCTGAGATATTTGTGATTAAAAATATGGTCATTTATTTAAGCCTCAGAATTACTATATTCACATTGAGCTCCACAGAGGTAAAGCAGAAATTCCAATGTTTAACGTCTATTAGAATATTTAATAGGCACTTTGGTAACCATTCTAACTTGGCTTATCAATCGTCTTTAGACTTCCTAAGTCGTTATAGTACTGCAGTAAAACATTAAGACTCCAGTGAGGTATATCAGATGCCTCTAAACTGGAATACAAACTTCATTGTGATTTTGCGATTCATAACACAATTGACTTGGAACTTCTGTAGTTCTGCTTAGATATGTGTATAAGGATGAAATTTGGGTACTGTGGTAAAGTATGATTCCATTATGGATAAAAATTTTATTTTATCATTTTGTCATCGTCGTCAACTAGGAGCAGGACTATATCATCCGCATATTCTAAGTCAACGAGATTACACACTGGTAACAGTTCAATCCCTGAGTCGCTGAAGTCAGTTAAGGTTAAGTCTATTAATAGTATATCTTTGAGGAAATTAAACAGAAATGAGGACAGTGGATACCAATAGTTGTCACCACTTCAGATGACAACTCGCCGCAAGCTCTCACCTGGTTGCATGAGTTCGAGTTGAGTACTCTGATCAGTGTAGGGTATTTTCTAGGCACTTCCTTCACAGCCACACATCGCCATAGTACCTCTTGGTCGAAGGAATCGGATGCCACCTTTAGGTCAAGAAATATGACGATTGTTGAACGCCGGTAAGTATGCCTATGTTTCAGAATCTGTCGAAGCGTGAAGATATGATCAATACACCCTCTTTTTAGCCTAAAGCCTGCCTGTTTCTCTCGTGTTTCTGCCTCCCCAGCACCACTTAGTCAACGCATGACTTTTGAGCCTAGAACTTTATACACCATATTGGTCAAGATAATCCCCCTGTGATTATCACAGGAAGACTTATCTCCCTTCTTGTATATGAGGATAATCAATGACTTACACCAACCCGATGGGACTTCCTCTGATTCCCAGACGCTGCATAGTAACTTAGTTAACGCAGACAGTAAACTGTCTCCACAACCCGTAAATACCTCTGGAGTCATTCTATCAGGCCCCGCTGTTTTGCCTCATTTCAGATTAGAGGCAGCTTCTTTAACCTCAGTTAAGGACGTAGGACCAGTGCTTTTATCCCATTCAGGTAGGTATTAGATTCTGAGTAGGTTGAGCGTGGCTGTAGGCCAATCAAACTGCTCCTCAAAGTGTTCTTGCCAACGTTCAAGTCGTCCTTCTGATAGCTAATTGCTTTGCCATTTTTCGCGGAGATTGTCTCACTTATCATTTTCATTTTGCCACCTGTTTCCCTGATAAGTCTAAATAGTTGTCTGGAGTTGCCTATCGCCGATGTCTTTGTCATTTCTTTCTCTTTTTTCGCCTGCTACTGTCCACTGTTGTAGCGAAGGCTTCTTGTTAGTTTGCGTTTGAGTGGCTTTCGCCCCTCATCATATTCGGAGTTCGCCGGAATCAGTCTTCTTGCGTCAATCAATTCGGATGAGGTAGCGAAAATCCACTGGCTCTTACTAACTTTTGGTTTTAGCAATATTAACAGCTTTTACAGGTGTGTCTACAGCTAACTGTATACTGTACCGGGCTTCTTCAGGAGGAGTCTTGCTGTCGATCTCAGACACGCGCTTAGCTGTTTTTTCCTTAAATAGGGACTTAGTGTCCTGATGAAGTTGGGGGAGTAACTGCTTTTATGCTAACAGTTTTTTCCATCCCTGTTTAATCTTAAGCATAAATTTGCCCGAACCAGCGCGTGATTGTAATCTATGCACTTATTCCAGAAAGAGCGGTAGTCTTCTCCTGATCCTCACCAACGTTATTCTATGGCTATGTGGTCTATTTGAATCCAACGTTGATCTGGTGATGGAGGTAGCCAAGTTAGGTAATCTCCCTTTGCTCATAAAGTTACTGACGACTAGGAAGAGATGACTATCTGAATAGAACTATATAAGACGATCACTGTTTTCAGTTGAATTCAATAGGATTCATTTCCAACACACGTCACTAGAAACGCTACAGTGTTATCAACTGAGCTAATAAATTGTAGTGGTCATATGTCATGCAATTGATATTACTTTTAATTTCTTTCTTTTGTAGGAAATAACCAGTATAAATGAACAGTGAATGCTAAGCCTAAACTTCAATAGGTGCATCACCGCTTTCTAGAATAAAAACGTATTCTTCCATCGTCTGTTAAATAGAGTGATACATGTGTAGTGTTTCGCGCTGAGCTATGCTGTCAAGCGACCATTTACATGTTTGCGTTTCTAAAGACATTTTAATTGTAACTGTGCTCAATAAGAAACATAAGAATTTTACTTTAAAGAGAAACGTAGAAAATTATAAATAACTAATAGGATGTGTAGTAATGGAACAGACTTCTTGGACAGCTGTCTTAGTTTGGTAGTCTTTGATGGGTGCTGTTAAGTAGAGATGGTAATGCTAGTCACTCGGTTCTAGTGACAACCTGCCTCTAACCTATAACGTCAAATATGCTTCTGCAATTTTAGTCGTAATGCCTTTTCGTTCCGTCTGATATTGTAATGGCTAGACATCACACTTAGGGTGTATCACCGAACAGGTCAATGAATGGCCAAAGAGGGTTACTATTTTTGTAGCTTACTGTTATCTAATAAATGCGATATCTGCTCTGTTCTAACTGTCTGTGGTGGCTATTTTTCCGGATGTAAGTCTGCAAAACAACCTTAAGAGCAAAAGTAATAAGAAAAAAATTACTTCAATAACCCAACTGCCATAATTACTTTACTTCCTTTTTAACTTTTGCAGATAACCAAATACGCAGACTTACTACTGACACCGACGGCTTATGTTATTTAAATGACCAGTCTGTACCAAAACTGCATACACTTGGATTGTCGCATAATTTAATCGAAATAGAAGATAATGGAACAGAAGATAATCCTTCACATATTACGATTGGATTAGAAGTGAAAACTCTTAAGGCTTTATTTCTTGGATATAATAGAATAATTAGTTTTGGAAACTATAATTTAAAGAATGAAAATTCAGAAAATTCCTCCACCGAGCTAAGCATTTCTTCTGTCGCTAAGGTACAAGCTTATTGTAAATACAACTCAATGATTGGCTATCTTCCAAATTTATCTGTTTTACACATTAGAAGCTGTGGACTGGTAAATCTCGACGGAATAACAATTGAGTGTTTTCCAAAACTACAATACTTGAATGTTCGGTAAGATGAGAAATAACGGTGTCTATATTTATATGCGTAAGATTCCAACACTTTCTTATCATGTCCTGTAAAAGCACAATTATGTGTTGAAAAGTTGAACATTCTATCTCAAGCTACCACCAAAGGGTGATTAATTAGGCTTAAAAGAAGTAGGTGCAAAAATGTTAAAGTTGATTGTAAAAGTAATGTATTTTTATTTCAACGGATACCATAGATACTAGCGTAACCACAAGAGTAATTAAACAACATTAAAATACGGTATATTCGTAGGATTCTTCTTTAAATTTACAATTACAAATATAGGTGCAGACTAAAGACGAACGAAAGTATAATATAAAAATATGATTTTTTAAAATAAATTATCATTCTGCTTACAGGCAAGTTTATCGAATGATTGAAAATTTTCTGTACATTTAAGTCAATTTAAAGAGTCGAAACAACCAGTCGATTCAGGGCCATACGCAATATCTTCTTGCAGACACTATACTCAGGTCTTTATATGTTAATTACCATTTAATTTCTGTGTTCATGACAAATCGTAAAATAACCAAAAATAAGTATGCTGTTCTATTTAGTCTTCAAAAGCCACTTCCAACAGATCAAGTATTACTGGCCATATTATAATTATTATTTATTCTTTGCACTTCTAGTGAAATATAGGAAGTTAGTACCACATCTCCATTGCACTCTCCTGTCACGACCATCTACAGGCTTTCATTTCCTCTTCACATGATCCCCTGCATGTCACCATCGAACTCAAACTCAACACATCCCTTCCTATTTGGGTTATAATAGATGACGTGGAATATAAATGTCTCAGAGTATGTCCAATCCATTTCCTTCTTCATATCTGTAAGTTAGTACGTACTTGGTTAGTTAGATGTCTCCCAGAGCTTCTCCTTGCTAATCCTTTATCGCCATGTGATCTTCAGCAGCTAATGATGAAACTCTGAAGCCTGTTGGAAATGTTTCTGATGATGCTATGGCCAAGTTTCTGAATCACATAGAAGCATCGACTTGACATTAGAGTGGAGAGTTGGAATCTTGTTTAGGATCCAGATTTTGCTCCTTATGTTGACTGTAGTAGATTTCCAAAGTGATTTCACAGTGCCGAAATTCTGTCTTGCTTTTCAGATCCAGGCTTTGGCATCCTCATCCGGGCGCCGGTAACTGAAACGGTTGATGCATCCTAGATAGATGAACAGACGACTTCCTTTCTACTTTTCCCGTTGATAGTGATTGGCATCTGTTGCTGTTGGTTAGGTATCTTTATCAACTTTGTTTCGTCTATATTCACCTGAGATTCTGTCTTCAGTGATTGGCTGTAGAGTCAGGCAACGCTTTTTCTGTTTCAGTTCAGAAAGATTTCACTCTTTCAAATGCATTAGCATCGCTGTTTTGTTGCTGAGATTTTATGAGGTAGCATTACTTTTGGTGGAATGATTGTGAATCAATAAATCTGCGATCCAATCGCTTAGATATGACAAGAATCGATTTACAGCTTTCCACTAACTGAGCCCGTAGTCTACTAAGATGTGCAGAAACTATCAACTGATACGTTCCTTATTTTACTTCACAGATACGTGTCATGCAAATTGATGATGTGTTATTGTCGGTTTATTGACATTATGCTAACTAAACACTCACATCTTACTACTCTATTCAAAATCGCACTGAATTAGGAAGAGGAAAAAAGTGATCACTTGTTATTTTAAAAAGTAGATGGAGATTCTGAAGACTAAGTAACTTGAAATTTACTCCTTTCAGTCTAGTGCTTTCACGTAATTGAAATACAAGGATTACTTCGTTTCAGTTCCAGTGATATTTAAAAGAAAATGAGTCATGAAAAAAGTAATAGACAATTCAGCAAGGAAAATGTTTTATCAACGAAATCATCTTCAAGGCTGAACAAATATATATATATATATATATATATATATATATATATGAGTGATAATAGTGAATTAATTACCAAAAGCAGAAGTAAACGATTAGGAGACAGAATAAGACCATAGTAGAGTAAGAGGCTGAACAAACCTTTTCTGCACATAGAGTTCGGGGTTATATTGACGAATTGCTAGCGTCTCTACCATACGACGGATACATATATCACAAGATATTTGATACTGTCAGCACTTTAAAAGCATTCTTAAGTTTTAGCCAACTAAAGAGGAATTTCGTTATGTGCCAGTAGTAATGCACAACTCATTCTAATTTACCCTATGTGACATATAGAACTTAACAAGGAACTAAGTAACGATTGAGAGTTTTCTAATGTACTCCTGCTTATTTTATTTTTCGCTTTGAATATCTGTCCTTAAAACCTACAGTCAAATCTGCAACACAAATTTACCTTATTTTATTTGAATGAGTAGAGAAAATCAAATTGGAAGTTTGGAAGAAATCAAAAAGCTAACAGGATTCTCGCACTTACGAACCCTGATTTTAGCAGGTAATTTTACCAAACAATTTCCAGTAATTCTTTCCATTGGTTTTTAAGAAATGACTTTCAGTCTAAGATTTAAAAACAAATCTGAGGAACTGTTGTGGTGGAACTAAATTTTCAGTTCTTCAAAGATTGTTAGCAGTTATTACTGGCACGTCTGTATACTTCTGTTGTGACAGATTTCGACTGCAGTCTCAGAGGGGAAATGAATCCCATCAGTGTTTCATATTTATCCTGTTCATTAGTGACCTCATGCATTTATTTTTGCTCATGGTTTCATAACGTCTATATAACGGTGTAAAACAGAAACCAAGAAAAAATAGGTATTATCGTACATTCAGCAAAACCGAATACCGCAAGCTATGAACTTTCTGGCTGAAGATTATCCGCATATTGAGGCAGTAAATCATATTGTACAATGTGTTTATAGCAGATACAAACAACAGTATTATCTGAAAACTCTCATCGTCAAGACATTACAAAGGAAATGGGTTGGAATATTCGATACATATGTAAGGATTGTATTTTAATTTGATCATGAATTCTTTAAGAAACGTTCGAAAACACGGATTTAAATGCGAAGGTATTCTACTGTTTTGTAGCCTAAATTAGAAGTATTCAATGTATGTAGTTAAGAAAACGTAAGATTTGTAAATCTAAATACGTCAGCAAATGAATCCGTTTTTGAACAAACCTCTTGATAGCTAACGTCTAGTAACCGCTGGAGAAAACAAATCATATCAACATTAGTTTCCACTTCGTGATAAATCAGATTAAGTAATCCACTTTCAGCGACCTCAGCATCTGCCTTGAGAACTAGAAGACGTGAACTTATTACTATCAACTCTTACAGCAGTCGATAGGCGTGAATTAGAGTTATGGTATTATTAAATACATTCGCCGTGGCTACTTTGTGTACAGAGATACTTTTTACAACCACCATATAATTGATGTAATGTATTATCTTTCTGTAGACAATCCCGTTTACGATACCAAAGATTATCGACTGGAAGTTCGAGTTAGTCTACTCAGTTTAAGACGACTGGATAAAGATGTCTACACAGCTGAAGAAAATGAAGAAGCTGATGAGTTGGCCACACAACGAATGCAGGCAACATAATCTGTCAAACGTAAGTTATCCATACGATAGCGTACCTTCTTGTAGTGTGTTTTGAAGGTAATGCATATAAGGCTTATGAAAATTTCAGAAAAGACTGATTGCAACTGGTCGATGTAGATATGCCTAATGAAGTTCCTCGCAGTCAAATATCTGAATGTAGACAATACCTTATTTTATGGGCTGAAGTGCAGTGGTAACGACTAAGCTAAAATGCTGCCTGATTGCACCAAAGAACATCCATTAAACCAGCTTCATTTCATTCCAATTTTCTCATCAAGGAGAAATCTGCATAGATAGTTTCTGTTTATTTTATTGTAATTACAGTGAGGAGTTCATGAAAGAAGCAACTTAGTCATAAGTTTCATAAGAAATCAATATAAACACAGATGTTTTTGTTTTTACATGACAGACTTATGTAAAGCATTTTCTTACGACTTAACACCTCTGAGCACTTTATACCAGACCACATATTTATATCTTTTGCTATTACAGATTAGCGGATCGGAGCCGCAAGGTTGTTTGTTGACTTTCAGAATTCGGCATTATTGAAGCAAACTAAAATCTCACCTTACTATCAAAGAAATTTGAAAATCATTTATACAATGTACCTTAATCTTTTTGTTATAATAATATAATTAAATTGTATTATTTTTAGTGTCAATGCACTCTGTATTGACAATTGAAGAGATTCTATTCAGTATGGAAGGTAGACATAGGTGTATTTATTATCTTACGGCTTATCAAAATACTACATTAACAATTAAGAACCAGGTATTTAAGAATTTAAAAGTCAGAAGTTTGTATTAGTGAGCTATATCCTCAAAATTCTGCAGTTTTTTATGATATTTCCTTTTCTAAAAGCGCTTGACGACTAGTTTGTACAACGAGTTATTCAGATTATTTGGGAGGTCCACTTAACGGCTAAACAGCGACGATCGATTCTAATTAGCTTTCAACTTACTGGCACTGTGTTCTAGCGTTAGATTTACGAAATCCACGTAGACCGGGTTTCAGTCGCACTTATCGTTATTTATAGGAATTATGATGTAAATTCTGAGTAGTCACTGGTAAAAAATAAGGAGACTATCATTAGGTGTACGACCCATCAGGATAAGGAGAAAAAGTCCACTTTCCCATATCTTAACAAAAGATAACAAGCACAAAAAAACTTGAAATATACCTATAGCCAACTCACAAGTACTCCTTTACGCAGGAATATAGAAGCTGCATGCAGACAACATTAGTGGGAAGCCGTCATTCACTGGTCGGTAGTTTCAGCTTGCAGCCTCGCCCCACCCATCAACGTCTGGGTCGCCAGCTAGTATTACTAACCCTCACACAATAGAAGCAACTTTGTGCCGATTACATGGGGACTCAAATGTTTGTTCAGTAACGTTGACGCAACCTAATACTGTTTAGTATTAACGTCTTTTATACTTTTTATGAATTTCCTCATTCGCTACCGCTCGCCATTGTCATGATGACTACTTGTCAGCTAGCTCTTAAATGTCAATTTTTCAAGAATAATTCCCCTTCCGTCAATAAGTTCAGAATAAACAACAGACTCACTGCATTTCAACAGGATCCAGTCAACGACCATAAGTTTTCCTCATTATTGTCTCTACAACTGACTATATATAACCACAGATTTCTTCAGGACGAGCATCACTATCACACACAGACAAGTATTCAGTCAATTTCTTTATGAACACAGATTCGTTTTCTTTCATTTCTAAAATGGTCACGTAAGCTTTTCGGACACTTTTGTTTCCTATGACTGTTAAGCTGTGAACACACATGTGCATAAATGGTTGAAGTCCACACCGGTGTTTCAGAAGTGGAGGCAACCTCCACTATTCCTGACCACTGAAATTGTTTCATATGGAATAATGAGAAATTAAATGTATTCAAAACGAAATTAATAATAACTAATCACTAAAGTGATAAACATGGACTATTGTGTTTACCCCTCACGTTTGCAACTTAACTTAATGTTTACATCAATCAATATTAATCATTTTACTAATTACCATTCACTTTATTTGTATAACCCCTTATATGATCACGCAACCACTTTTTATTATTTACTCACGTTAAAACATGTCATCGAAAGACTTTAGAAGAACGAGCTTTTTACAAAACGAATATATTAGTCATATTATCAAAATGATCCTTTTCCGGATGATAAGAAAGCTGCGGAACCTGCAGCAATCAACATCGACACTGAGTAATTTCTAGTTTTTATTATTAAGGAAATCAGGAGATAAGCGTCAGGTATAATAAATGAAATGCACATTGTATTAAAGATAGCTATAAAATACCCAAAGTTACTAATTCTTAACTTTCTTAAAAATGAAACCTGTGAGTGAATTGGCAAATTCAAATATTCATCCACTTTATTGTGTATTATCAACAAAGTGTAATCTCATATCAAAACGGAAACAAAATTCGTGTAAGTGGAATCGAATGACAATATACTAAACTAAACATGTACAGTGAACAAGTGAGACGTCCGAAACACTACGCAAATACCAAGTCAACACTTAGATGAAATATGGTAAGCGCATTTTTAATCTATTTAAGGTAGTTTGCCAACCGGCTTGGCCATAATCCCCAAGTGACAATCAAGTTTTGATTCGACCAATTTCTAAATGTTAAAGTAATACAGTTAATAATTCACATGAGTACGTAGTTAGCTACTGTACTATTATGTTAAGTTGACTTTTTCCACAATCAACCCTCAATATATTTGACAATAATTACATTTGAAAGTGCAACGGGACAGTCCCTATGCTTATGTGATACACTGCATATCAGCACTTTATAGTAACTCCACGGACCTTAAGTGACTTACGGCATACTAATCACGTTGCAAGCGAATCAATCAACTCAAGACAGTCGATATGTTACAAATTAGAACCAAAATCTTAGATGACAACACTCATCGGCTTCAGATCCCCATAATAAAAGTCACATATGAGGTTTTTGACCGTGGTTATGACATAATGCTAAAGTGTTCGAAATTTCATTCTTGCGTGTGACATACATATATGTATAAATATACTGATGTGGTGTTCATGGCCCTCTCAAGTCTTTCACCCAGGTGGTCACATGTTCGGTTACAGCAGAGTAAACAACATTAATAGTCTGTCCCAGTAACTGTCGACAGATTTTTAAATAAATTAGTTGGGACTTTAAACCTTTGTTAAAAAGCCATTGAACCATCAAAGGATACACAGGACTTGAAAAATGATGAAGAACAGCTGATAATAGCAATAGTATCAGCATAAACAAACAGTTATTGTAAAATATTGAGAATGTTGTCGATTCATGATCAGCAACTTTCTTTGTCAGTTCGCGGATGCTTTGAAAGAGTAATTAAAAAATTTCGCCTACCTATCTTCCCTGTTTTTTCTAGACATATTTTTGTCTTTACCGGCTTGAGCATTGACTTGTTTAGAAATTGCTTCAGTTCGACGAACAGCGATCCTAGAAAAATAAAGCATTACAAATTCAGTTACCTCTCCATTAAAGGTGTTTTTGAGTTTTTATACGCTAGAGACATTAAAAAAGCTGAGGCAACTGTAACAACAGCATATAAGAAGGAATTAGCTATAAGTGGCATTTTATGTATGCGCCAAAACAACCCTAAGTTAATCTCTTTCAGATATTTACAAACAACATACAGATAGGTATCAAAGATATGGTAAATGCGTTGACATAAACCAGCTTGTCTGAGTTTTTAGATGCAGCCTGGCTGTATTCTTCCAGCAATTGTTCATCTTCTTTGGTAATTTTAACGACCATCCTGTAACGATAAGCTTAAAATGCCGCTTGTGTACGTTGTCAAAATTGAGACGAACAAACTAATATTCATTGTTTCAATTTCTCTCTGATAACAGGACATAAATCTTCGTAACAACTTAGTTTATGATACCAGGGCCTCATAAAACAAGGTGATCTGGTATTTTCGAAATGAAAATGGTGTTTCCAATCTTCCTAATGAAGTTATAAATAGCTTCAGCATCGTATCATACGATGATATCAGGATGATACCTGTATGAACCCTCAAGAATGTTTAGAAAATGCTTAGCATAAGTTTAATCAAAGACCCTGATCTCTCAGAAATTACTGCTGGCTAACAGTTTACGGCGAGAAAAGCCTGTTATTAAAACTATGTCTATAATTTTCGCCTGACTCCTTGTCATACCACTGAGATAAGTAAAACACATTTTGTGGTCTGGTAACACCTAAGAAGAATGAAGGCATCCGAAGTTGCAACGGCTTTTTCCCATATTATTAACTCATTTTGAGATGTGATAAAAGTAGAAAAAGATTTAGTTCTGCAAGCTTGGAGCACCGAATTTCTGGAATAAGCGATGACGAAGTTGCTCGTCCACCACTTCTGCTTTGTATCCAAATTTCCAGGAAACAAAATGGTAGTCGAATTAAATTTTGTCATAAAGACATGGTGACGTTGCATCTAATCAATGAGTAATTCTGTATCGCTGTCGTAAGAAGACATGTGTCGGTTTTTTGAACTCTTTTTCCTCATTGTTGACTAGTTTACACGACTTGTGCAGGTTGGAGGATGGTTTTTTGGGTTATTTTCCTCTTGAACATGTGTTAGGAACAAACGGACTTCAATTTATACCTCTTTATTGGCACATATACCCGGATTTGAAAAAATTTCGAGTGGTGTACACCATGAATTATTCTATATTAGTGACACTAGAGGCCAGGTTACACAGTAATAATAACGCTTCAGGGCAAGCTGGTTTTGCCGTGTTCGTTGACTGCACTGAAACTGAAATTTCGAACCATCAGATGTAATCTCTGTCATTTTCATAGGTTTTTTATTTGTTTTTCGATATGCAGAGATTTCAGTCAGAAGGACTTGACATTCTACATACGTTTGATCGAATTATCATATCTAGTTTGCTTGCAGATTATTTTGAAGTCGAAGAGATCATGAGGTTTCCACAGAACGCAATTGTCTTGGTAACTGGTCTGTATAAGAATGCGCGACACGTGGTTATGAACGACTGTGGACAATATAAGGTGCACTACATTTAAGGTTTAATTATATGGTGTTAGTTTTCGTACTACGTTATGAAACGAAGCTACGAGTTTATAGGCCTCTGAAAAAGAGACAATTATTTAAATTTAACGCTTGCACAGGACAGAATGTCAATGTTAAAAGCACAGTAGTCACCATTATAATTAATATGTCAAGTAGGTGCATAAGCCACAAACATACTCTGACACATCATACACGATCCGAAGTGTAGAAGACATTGTTAGGATATGTTGGGGCAATTCACTACTATATCGGCGTTTTCGTTGCAAGTAGATCCACTGATGCAGTATGCTGAAGATAATTATCGTAAGTTTACTGCTTACCACGATTAAAGCAGCTTTAGCGTTAAAGTTACTCAAACTTCAATCATCGGCAACAGACAACTTAGGAAACGGTCACCGTGTAGAGTTTGTTCAATAGAGAAGGGCATTAATAATAATTGCATTATTACAAACAGTACTTTTGGCACAAACACGGAGTTTTCGGCACGTAATACAATATTGCACTTATTATTCTCATTACGTGTGCAATAATTAAGATCGGGTATTCGCATTAATAATAATTTACATCAATAATATTGTTCAAAAACAAATAAATACAAAGTTAAATCAAGTGAAAATATTAACGACAACGTAATTATGAAAAGAAAAATGCTGCTTACTTGGAGTTCTTCAGTAAGTTGGTAACTTCCTATCTTACACTCTTCTCATCAAATAAAATGTGTGCCTGCGAATTAGGGTACTGCGCAGTTTTTATACTTATTCGTCCTAGCATAGTCTTCTATAGCTTCTTCTAGTTCTTCCCCATGCGATGCAAGGATAGAGTTGTGGATAGAGAAGATATTCAGAGTGTTACAAGATAATATTTGCCGATTTCTTGCGTAAATCCAAGAGTCTATCTAAAATAGTAATAACGAGTTTGTTTAGCAACACCGCACTCACTCTACTGACGACTTTTAGCGCCCATGGCAGTATAAAAAAGCATTTCTTCAGTAGCCCTGGAAAGAATAAGGGGGAGCAGTAAAGAAGTATAGGGACAAAACAAGCACTAACAGCTGGTAACAGTAGAGATACCAGATACCTGATTAGATTAACTTCCTGACAGAACGCCAAACGAAATATCTGTCTAGAAACTAACATGAAGTAGGAAGACCAGGAAAGTCCAGAGGAAATACACTGTCCAAGGTACTTAACATTCGAACTTCAGTACTATCTATAATAGTGGAGCCGTGCAAACTAACCAGTTCATGCAAGTCTCGCCTGTATCTGAAAGTAGAACTGACAACCTTACATTTAAAGGGATTAAGCTTGAGACCACTGAAAAGAACCATTGACTGATTCTAGATAAAACGTTATTCACTTTGGAACAATCTGACTGAGATTTAAGGGACACGGAAACGGTCAGATCATCAACACTTTTCTTTTTCACGGCAAAAATTTTGAGCTGAGAAAAGAAGTGATCATATCTTAAGAAGAGTGTTCCCTTTGGACAACAAACATCAAGAGAGAATTTGAGATAAAATGATCAGTTTGTGACTGTGTCATCTAGAACTTCTCCAGTTAACAAGTCTAAATCTGTGTCACTCAACATGTTTCTTAGATAATGTATGCTATTCACAGGAGTGACACTCATGTTGTGTTCTCTTTCCAGGGTTAGAGAAGGCACTTTTGTGCAGCTTTCCATATATTTTGGGCAATCAACGTATGATCAGAAATAGGTGATGAGGTTGTTTTTCGAGCTCCAAATATGCCGAAGTCATCTGTCAACTCTGGATCGGGGGTATTTTCTAGTCGTGTTGAGAAGATGGCAAAATCTTCGTGACCTAATGATGTAAGGATACTGTAGTCACAAGAATTGAAGGCACCAATAGCTGCTAAAAAGGAGTTTCCAAAGGATATAGCAGAAAAGGAAATAAATCAGATATTTCTGAGAAACTTCATCCAGATGCTGTGTGTCGGTGGTACAGCGGTTAGGACGCTCACCGACCATACACATAGTCCAGGGTTCGATCGCCGGCTGGCGCACTCCTTTACCTCGCTTAGCTAGCGATAAGCTGGTAAAGAGGAAAGGTCGGACATGAGGCTGGCAACCCCGTCCTGTGAAAATAAACACTGCTACAGAAACTTCAAGCCTCTAGCTTGAACTCCTATGTTCCACTGGGACCGTAAAGGAATAAAAAACATCCAGGTGTACTATAAATGTTTGAAAGGTATGTGTAGTTATATTTTGACAGGTGTCTCGGATGATATTCATTATTGATGCAGTCAATTTTGTCACTACGGTGTCTAAAACACATTACTTGAAGTGCACCATTTAGAAATGATGAAGGTTGCGACAACATCACCACGTTTCTTTTGGAGTTAATCAATCTTGTCCAAATAATTCGAAACCATTAAGACAGAATAAATTATAATCACATAAGAGTTGGAGCCAGGTTTCTTGAAAGGTTATGACACTTGCATTACTATGTACTTTGGAAGACACGAGTGATTGCAGACAGTAAATTTGGTGACTCCAAGCTCTACCACCCAAGAACGAAACTACATTAGGTAGTCTTTAGATTGATGACCTTGACGAATTTGTTTACAGAAATTGGTTTAACCTGACTATGAGGACGTTTATTTCAGATTACGCACTTCTACTTCTGACTGGTCGCCAGGGGTAGTTTCGTTTTGGGCTGATATACTTTAGAGTCACCACTAATTTTACCTGACAAGGAACGACATTTTGTATGCATACTCTCTGGAACAGTTATTTGATGTATTTGAATACCTTCTAAAACACAGTTCCATCCAGAGTGATGACTTTCATTTGGTCTCGTGGAAATTTGCTAACTCGCAGGTTTTAGACATTTTAAAAGTTCGTGGGTGCATGAAATGGGATTGAATGTCATATGTTTAATAGGTTGGTAAGTTAAAACAGATTGAACACGAGAAATCAGATACAATATTATTACGGATGGATTTTCGGTAGCCCAGAATTGAGGCAGGCTGCCATCCACCCATGAATTCGCAAGCTTTGGTTTGCACAATTCATTTGCCTATCCCTGTGCCTTGAAAGTAAAACGTCTAGACTGTGCGACTTCTTTCTGTAATGCCACGCGTCATCATCTAACAGTCTGAGTAATTATTTTGACAGGAGTGTCCGTTACTGGAATATCATCGAGTGAAATCGAAGAAGTTGTGGTGCACCTGTATAGTTGATGAGTTTGTGAACCTTACAGATCAATATCTGGGCCTAAGAAGCTTGCTATTAATCGCAGTGAATACTCGACAGTTGTTGTAAAACCCAGACACTGGTGCGTTCCGTTTCTGCTATCGTATCTGAAAGATATCTCAGTCATGAAATAAAGGCAGTGTCAAGGAACTTAGCTCTAAGTTCCTATCGTAATCAAGACTTAAGCGATTGAGCCGATAAATACTATGCACTTTCTTCAACTTTAAATCCAAAACACCAGTATTCCTTGAACGAAATTATATTGTTTGGCAATTAAATTGAAGAAAACTACAAAGTCTGCAATCAAATGTTAAGTACAAATGAAGTTATAAAGTACTTTTATTCGTATTTAACTCCAGTCTTCTTTCAACTTGCAAGCGATCGTTCTATTCGCGCCTTCAATTGCCCGCCAATGGTTGCCAGTTCCAATAAAACAAACGCTCAATGTTCACTTCCATTGACACCCCTCGGCAAAAAAGGGTCCGTCTTTTTTTCCACAGCGGCGGTAACCATGAACTGAACTGCCAATGCGGGAACCTGGGCCAATCGGGACTAGGCTAA